CAAACAAAACACGACACCCTTTGCTTCCTCGAAACAAATCACAATTTTTTATTTCATAAATGCACCCATATAATATTTACATTTATATATATATTATTCTAGATACAGACTGGACCAAAAGTTATTTATTCTTTGGGGTGAGGAGGGGGCGGCGCCTTCCTTGCGAACGCTTGACACTTATTAAAACGCGGTAAAACAAGTCGTACAAATCATATGTTGTATATAGTTTAAATATGTTTATTTGAACTTTAAAAAGATAATATATTGTATTAGATGAAATAAGTAAAAAAACAACAAGAAGTTTCCATCAAACCAATTTTATATAATCTTTCCGTTTTAATGTTTAAATTCCAAGCGTTTTACCCGTTTATTTTGCGAACTCGATCAAGTCAAGTCAATTAATTTATTGGCTAAAACATATTTTTGGTGGTACAATACAAAGTACAGAAAAGTGAAATACATACATTATAAATTAAACATTATAAATTATACATTTTTTTTTAAATTTTTGTTCGTACATGTCATTATTGATATGAATTTATTTAAATTAGGCCAGGAGCAATAATATCTAGGTAAACAAGTTTTCCTTAAGTCGTTATAATATGGACATACTAATATGAAATGATATTCGGTTTCATTTTGTTTCATATTGCATTTTGTACAGAGGCGTTGTTTTCTTTCAACATTTCTTTGTCTGCTAATTTGTGCGAAAAGCTACCAGACCTTGATAGCGTTACAGTTGTTGTTTCAGGTGGATCAAGCAATAAAAGGCACTCGATCGAAGGACTCGAAATATTTGTCACACATTACTATAGAAAAGTTGTCAATTTAGTCAAAATTAGTGTCATACGTACAATGTGATGTTAACGCATTATAGTTACTTCTACTAAGCTTAATCAATGTTTACAGTGAATGTAATATAAGCTGAGATAAGAACTTAAACAAACAAGTCTTGAGATATGCAGTGGGTGGGAATTCTTATCATAAGACATTGGTGAATGCTGTGAGACTAGCAAGCCGCGTAATCATTGTTTTATTATGTCCAAGATCTATGGTTATAAAATAGTCACTTATGTCACAGAAACTCAACCAAATGTTTTTTAAGGCGATTTATGTGCCAGTGTTTATTTACATGATTTCCAGATATTTATACATCACAACACGGATTTATATGTAATGTAAATCTGTGATCACAAAAGCAGGTGTCTATAGTGCCGTGTGACAGTCGTAAAAAGTTGCCCCGTACTTCACTTCAGTGCTGTTATATTTTTCTGGTCCATCGCGATCATTGATCATTGAAAAATTGAGTACCGTTCAAGACGGTGCTGGAGAGGAGGGGGCGGGTGATGCTGCATTTTTTCATTATCCCTCATGCACAGACTCAATTAAACCGAGCCTGCAAATTTCAAGTAATATTGCTGATTGTAATGCTTCCGAGCTACCACTTTTTACCAGATTATACCAATGACAACCAGACGGTGTGCTATAAATTTATAATTTTCGAACAAATGCTGTTTGAGCCCATAAACATATAGTAAAACTGATAGTCATAAAAAAAAAATAGGAATATGGGCTGCAAATTTCACCTTTGCATATGATTGTCATTTCTAGTGATGGTTGTAGCCGACCAAAAGCAGGAAAGCGCCCTCTAGCAGATACAGTCTAAGTTTTATTTGACATTCACCTCTTGTTTCACCTCTTGTGACCCTTAAGCTTTGGCAGGAACTAAATCTCAGTAAAACAAACATTGCGCTGGACAGGTTGGCATGACATATGGTCATCAAATAATTGCAAACCCCGATAACAGATGACTACAACCTGTACAAACATTCGGTGGCTGGGGGAAGGGCACACATGATCTGTATTACTTCAACACCTAAAAAGCAGATCCCTTAGATAAAGGGCTAAAAATCAGATTCCTTGGATAAAGGGTTGTGCCATGCGCTTTATGTAGAGTAAATAAATTAACCAAACATAAACATAAAATTTGCACTATAGATGCAGCAGTTATGTGAATTATACTTTACCCAGATTAATTATAAGTTATATCACGGATTTATCACTTTTTTCTGTACAGTGAAAATTTTATGTTACAAGTAAGTAATATATACCTAATTAAATTCACTTTACATTTTACATGACCTTGAAATATGTTGGATAATCTGGAGTCATGCAAGTTAAACCTGCAGTATGATACCATTTATTAAATGAGCCGTGTCACGACAAAACCAACATAATGGGTTTGCGACCAGCATGGATCCAGACCAGCCTGCGCATCTGAGCAGTCTGATCAGGATCGACGCTGTTCGCTATCAGTTTCTCTACTTGTTATAGGGTTTGTAAGCGAACAGCATGGATCCTGATCAGACTGCGCGGATGCGCAGGCTGGTCTGGGTCCATGCTGGCCGCAGGCCAGCAAACTCATTATGTTGGTTTTGTCGTGACACGGCTCATCTAATAAATAGGTTTAACCTGCATGACTCCAGATTATCCCACATATTTCAAGATCATACAAATATTGAGAAAAATGTTCTAAGACTTATAGAAAAAGTAAAACGATTCAAATAATAATTTACATGTGAGATAAATGACTGGGTTTGCAGTATTCATTACCACATATATATACTATATCTATATTTAACTCCATGTTATTATCATATTTCTATTGCGTGACTCATGCTTTAAGGGCTACTTTTGCATGCCCCCATCCTTTTTGGTAATTTATGTAGATCGCAGTTGCCGTTTGCAATGCGTAAATTGCTTACTTGTTCATTTCAAAATATTTTACATTTAAATACAATTTTACATTAAAATTAGCATATGATCCTGATCGAGGGATGCTGCTTTGAAACTATTATTCTTGTATTTAACACTGCGGACTTGCAATTATCGGGTCTTTGCCGTTTTGCTAGCTTGGTTGGTTGTTCTAGTCCTTTATAATTTGGTTGCATGCACCTGTTAAATATTAATTATTAAATATAATTACGTATTGTGAAAGTATGCTTCCTAACAGTGATGATTAATTAAACAATTCATGGTTAAATATGCAGATTTTTAGTGAACTAGACTTTTACAAGGACAACAGGTTATCATTACACAAATATAACTAAAGTACATTGCAATAAAATATAACAATTTTATTAAAAAAATACATATAAAAAGTTATTATTACATTTTCTTTCAGAGTGAAATCTAGATATTTCACTAAACAGTGCAACATTCACCTTGAGAAAGGAATCGATATTTTCCAAAATGACCCTTATTTCCTTGAAAATTTTACATAACTCGGGTTAATCAGAGTTCAGTCTTGAAAATTTCGTAGGAGTTTCATTTGCAGACAATATTTTTAACAGTAATCTAAATTGGAATAATAGGGCTATATTACATAGTGATCTCTTTTTTACCCATAAATTACATGGAATTAAATACGTGAAGTGACAAATAATAAAGTGATTTTGATAATGTTTTAAGAAAACTAGACCAAAATACCATTCAATTTTCTTAGCTGCTCAAAATTTTGAAAATTAATATGACTTTTAAATTTACCGTTAGGCATTCCAGTCAAATCAGATTTAGGATAAAGTCAAGCAAACTAAAAACTGTACATGCATTATCACATGTTCAGAACATTTCATAATGATGATGTGTTTCCTGAACACGTACTTTTAGAGACCCGTTGACTAATTCAAGGAAAGAAATTAGACATGTTAAATTATACTTTTTAGGGATTTTTCTTAAAACACTTGACCTCTTTTCTTTGGAATGGCAATGAATAAATTTCGAAATAGTATTACAACGATTATCTTAATGATTTTCATGTCCAACGGAGTCGCAATTGGGAATTTTTTTTATTTGTTTCCATATTTTTTATGGCAATCCTATAAAGGCATCTTTTTGTGTGATACTTATATAACCTAAAAGTCTCTATTAATTATATGCGTACGGCGATGATCTAGCTCTTTGCACGTGCGCGTTGAGATAGGCCTACTTCATCCGGGCGACTCTGCATAGTAGCGGATCAACTAGAATATTCAAAATAATTCGTCAGTTTTAATAAGTGCGAAAATTATAACTACATTGTTATTTCTCAAACATTGTTATTTCCAAACCTTGTTTCTTTTAATGTCAGCATTCAAAAGATTTATTTTATTAACAAGACAGGCTAATATTCTTCTAATCCCACAACTTTATTGAAATGATTGGATGCTTTATAAACACGACACATATCTATTTAAAAGTAATCAGATAAAGAATGCAAATTATTCGTTCAAAACACATTTGATAGCTCAAGAGATGCGGTCGAAATTGTTTCCCAGTGATCACAATAGGCGGTCTATCTACTGTAAACACAACCGCGCGACCAATGCTCAAACGTCACAAACAAACAAACAAACAACATAATTAGGTGTTATATACCTAGGTAATGTTCAGCGCATATATATATAGAAATATATTAAGTTTTTTACATCATTGCTAAATATCTGTTACATGTTTTTGTACGGTACATTAGCAATTTGAGATTTATATTAAATAAACTTTGGATGCACATCTTTAGTGGTGTTTCGAGCGGTTTATCATTTGAACAGTCTTGTGAAACAGCGAAGTTTGGATACAAAACGTCGGTTCAGTGGTAAATAGACCGTTATTTTTTTCAATAATGATCAATCCGTCGATAATTATATCAAAAAGCTTCTAAAGCATTGTAATAATGATCAGGACAAGTGTCAACAGGTTACTTATATCTACTATTTCTACTATTTCTACTATTTCCTTGAATATTTGTTTTATTTATTACTCAGCTAAGGTTTCACAAATTGTTTGATTTAACTTTTTATGTACATGTAAATTTTAATACCAATATATCTATGACTGCATAACTTGAACGCATTATTTGCGTCCACAATACTTCTGATAAATTTAGCTAACAATAATTATTGAAGGAGAAGTCTCGTTACGTACCGTATTACGGAAACTGGACTTTAAACGACTTGATAAAGGAAGTTAGATTGTGGGAAAGTTATGATTTCTTGCTAGTGCAAATTGGTATTTTGAACGCATCGTGCTGAATTACAGCATTGTCAAAGTTTTAGAAAGGTGATAATTGCTATGAGAAGCGTGATCTGACACATACCAGTGGTAAAAATGCAAATTTCTTTTCTCTTGCATCTTATTACAGAATTCAAGGAACATTTTTTTTTTAAATTCGCCTAGGATTAGGAGTCCGTTAGTAACGGTTACTGTTTTACCACTGATATACCGGGCATTATAATCAAGTCAAAATCTTAAAAACTTGTTAATATTGAAATGCGATGTTCTGAATAAAGGGAGACAATCTAATCATGACGTTTATTGTAAACATTATTGGGTTACTTCCCTTTCATTAAAACATCACAATTCCTGTCATTTCATTATTGCATGTATACACTATTAGGACTTAATATATTATTTAGTGTATTTTAAGTCCTAGATGTATACAAAAAAAAAGTCTAATTAATTCTAAACTTGTTTGTTGTAAGCTTGATGGGAAACAAGTTTTTGCAACATTGTAATTTGTAAATAACTTTCGAGTCTGCTTCCTGGAACTAACCAATACTGGTGTTATATTCATGATCCAGTTCATGACCCGAGAAGGTCTTGAGCCGATGCTCCCTGGCTTGAGCAGCAAACAACTTAACCTAAACCACTGGGTCACTGCTCCGAAAGATAATAAACAGATAACTACAGTGTAATTTAAACAATATTTATAATTTAAATCAAATCATGAATAACACATGGATCAAAGTTAATTTATTAATTTGTTTTTATTTCCAGAACTAATGATAACCTGTTCACCATGTTGTTGAAGAACTCAGATTCAGATGAATGCAAAGAAATTTTACGGAAAGTCATAAGGTCACAGATTCTCCACCTGGTAAATTCCACATTTTTGTATCACTCTAGAACTAACACAAACATAGGTTCAAAACATGATAGTAGAACTACCTGTCTAACAGCATACATGTGAACTCTTCCACTTTTAGCGGGGCCGGCAGCCTACTCCAACTTTCTGCAGCTATATTTTCAAAAAATTTTCTTAAAATAAGGAGTATTTTCAGAAATTAAAGAAATCTCCTTCTTTTTGTTGTCAGAACTTCCTTCTTTGTTTATTGCAAATTCTAAAATCTCCCTCTTCTTGAAGAGAAATCTCCCACTTGATCATTGAAAAAATTCACATGTATCTTTAACAGAGACTTGAGATAAAATTCAAATTTATTGTTTATTGACTGGTACCTTAAAAAGGTTTTTTAACATGTATGATAACCAGACTAGATTTGTTTTTTGTTTGAGATATTTATACTATTTGATGTAGATCAATACCAATAATTTGATTGTAACTTAAAGATAATTTGCTTTCTACATATTAACATAAACAGAATGCACTTTACTTTCCATTTTCAATTCATTTCTAAGTATATTTATTATAATTTTCACAAGTTTCTGCTTTAAATGCACTAGCTAAGCTGACTTGGGTATGATATTTCAAGGCTTTCAGTCTTAATGGAGCTCATTTAAAACTCAAGGAGGCCATTTTCATGGTCTTTCTTTATTAAATTTCAATCAAAGCACTAGTTATTTCAATTTCAAATTATTCCTGTTTTGGTAGAATTTGCTTTATTTGTATTATCATTTTGATAATGTATTTTAAGGTGAACCAATTAGCAGAGACAGGTGAGGAAAGTTTTATGATCAGTGCTACAGGAGAGGATGAAGTGCCACATATTGTGGGATCAAAATACGGGCTTGTCTACATGCAAGGATTCAGGGGTGTTCAAGATGGATTTCCTAATTTTATTCAGAAACGTGAGTTTTTTTAAAAAAAAATCATAATGAATGTGTTCTTATGGCTGTATGCTTGGAGATTCCTGAAAAAGAATTTTAGAAAATCAAACTTTTTGAGAGGTAGTATGCAATTAATCAAGCTGTAAAAGAAGTGAACAAATGCTCACTATTTATGTGAAATTTTAATTAGTTTAGACATATTCATTTTAGTTGATTGTGCTAAAGTTTGAATCTTTTTTGAACCACTGATAAGTACACTGCCTGGTACGAACCAGCACTGATGACATAGTGTGACACATGTTTTATTCTAATTATGGCTGACTGTTTTGTGTTTATCATTATATTGTAACAATATTACACAAATCAAATTGGTGTAGTGGTTAAATGTGGTGAAAATATATGGTGATGAAGTTGTAACATGGTGAAGAAGTGATAAGGTAGTGAGGTGGTAATGTAGTGAAATAATAAGGAAGACAAGTAAAGTAATAAGTTGGTGAAGTGGTAATGTACTGTAGTGATAATTGATAAGATCACAGGGGCCCCATCCAGTGTTTGGATGGTATATACTGCTTGGTAGTGACCTTAAAATGAGATTTTAGTCATAACCTTATAATATGTATATAAATATAGGCTATATTTACATACATATGATAAGGTTATGACTAAAATCTCATTTATAGGTCACTATCAAGCAGTATATACCATCCAAACACTGTGTGGGTCCCCTGTGGATAAGATGGTGAAGTGATAAGGTAGTGAAGTGGTAATGTAGTGAAATAATAAGGTAGTAAAGTATTAAGGTGGTAAAGTGGAACTGTAGTGATATGATAAGATTGTGAAGTAATAAGATAGTCTCATGGTAAGGTGGTGAAGTGGTATGGTGGTGAAATGGTTCTCAGGTAGTGAAGACCTAATTATATTTTATTGCTGAAACAAACTGATCCTTATTTTCTCCAAATCAAAATGAAAAAGATGCCTTCAGTATTCATAATTTTCATTGAAAATTTCAGACATCCATTCTCAAATACACAAGTCAGAGACAGATAATGGAGTGAGTCCTACAAAACTAATGCCTAGTCTGGAACGGTTTGATGTTAAAGAGTCTGGTGCAAAAACCTCACCAAAGCACAATATAGTTTCGTATAAAAAAACCAGCATTTCCAAGACAATTGTAACTGAAGCTGGAGGAGATTCAGGTGACAGAATAAATGAACTAGAAAAGATGGATGACAAGGAAAATGAATTGGCTATGAAAGTACCAGCAGCAGATGATGTAGGCTCAGCAAGAACTTCAGGCATTAACCAAGGGTTCAGGGGTGTACAGGATGGATTTCCTAACATACTACAGAAAAGTAAGTTATTACATGTACAAAGAAACTTATAAAAGAATCTTATTTCTAATGATGCATGTACACTATTAAAATAAAGTTGGAAAATGGTAAGATATATTAACAATTAAGTATACAATCTGCATAGGGATCTCTGTAACAAAAAGGTCCTACAAGATCACTTGTATTCTCAGATAATTCTCCTTTATGTACTTCTTTCGTTGAAATTCTTGAACTTGCTTAAAATTGTTAAAATTCTTGGACTTGCTTTGTTGAAATTCTTTGATTTCTTTTTTTTTTTTTTTGAAAACGTTAACTTCCTTTATTGAAATTCTTCAAACTTTCTTTGTTGAAATTCTTGTACTTGCTTTGTTGAACTTTTTGAACTTGCTTTGTTGAAGTTCATTGATTTCTTTTTTTTTTGAAATTTTTGATTTTCTTTGTTGAAATTCTTAAATTTCCTGTGTGGAAATGTTTAACTTTGTTAAAATTCTTGAAACTTCCTTTGCTGAATTTTTTTAATCTGCTTGTTGAAATTCTTGAACTTCCTTTGTTGAATTTTTTTTACTTCCCTTGTTCAAATATTGAACTTCCTTCGTTGAAATTTTAAAACTTCCTTTGTTGAATTTTTTGAACCTACTATGTTAAAATTTTTAACTTCCTTCGTTGAAACTTTTGATTAATATTTTGAATGCAAAGTATATCTCCACAACCTTTAATGATATTTGCTTGAAAACATCACACATGCCTACAGGGACTTCATAATTGATGGTCACTGTGATTACTCATGATTTTTTTAATGTGGAATTTCCCTGTTAGTTGAGGACTTCAGGACCCTTGCTTTCAGTAATATCATGATATGAAAATAAGTTAATGGAGCTGTCATTCTGATATAAGAGGGCTTAATGTTACAAATGCACATTATGGAAGGTTATAATGAATGTGGTCAAAATCAAGGTCATTCAGTACTGATCATTATTTTATGAAAAGTTGGTAGTTGCTTGTCCAATTACTTTTTGTCCCATTCATTCTATATCAAACAAATAAATAAGCTAATAACAGGAATTCATTATATTAATCATCATTTTATATTTCTAATTTTAGATCAAGTAGTATCACAAAAGAGACAGTTTAAAAGAAAAAGGGAAGTTGAAAAATGTAGGGCTAAATCAAAAGAGATGAGATTAGAGGACAAAGTTGTTCGGTCCAGTCCTGATTCAATAAAGTCAGCGAGAACCAGTTCAATGAATGCCCAAACATTGCAGTCTGATCAAAATGGAAGATTTGACAGAGGGAATGTAGATGCTTTAGCATGTGTTGATAACTGTTCTAAAGAAGTGCATGAGACAAATTCTGAGACAGAAGCAGAAATTGCAAAAACCAGGCAAGATGTTTTGCAAGAAAGACAATGTGTTTCTGAGACAAAAGACAATCCGATGGAACATTTAGATATCCCTTCGCGAATACACAAAACAAATATTGGAGACAGTGCCATGAAACAAGTATCTGATCCTGAAAGATTTAATGAAAGAGATGAAGATCCTGAAACCTCTCTAAATACCAACGGTATACCTAACGATAAAGTAGTAGCTGAAAAAGTAGGAAATTTAGTTGATGATTTGGATGAACTGGACGAATTGGATGAAGATCAAGATGACATGTCTTTTGATGATGATATGAATTCTGATGAAAAAGAAACTGATTCAGAATGTGATGAAAGTGAATTCGATGAATTTAAAAAGGACGAAATCTTTTCTAAGCTTATTTATGACTTTAAGAACATTAAGAATGATCGGAAAGCTGCAAGTACAAGATGTAGCAATATTGTTGAAGAGAATGTTTCGAAACATGTAGGTGAAGCTTCCAAAACAGAAAATCTGAGTCAAGTATCTCTTGAAGAAGACAGGCATGTCTCTGAAGAAACTGTAAGTGAAATGCAAGACACACAGAAGGCAAATACAGGTGGAATTGAAGATACAAATGAAGTGAAATTAGTGTTTCTTAACAAATGCAATACAGCTCAGGGATACATGTATAAAAATATAGTTTATCGCTTATCAGAGTTAATCTCACCTGGAGATCTTAAATGTCAGTATTGCAACAAGAGCTGTAGAGGTCTGAAAGAAGTCAGAGAACATCAGGGATCACATAGTAAGATATACACTTGTTTTAGATGTGATCAAAATTTGCCTAGTCTTGCAAAGCTTAGGGAGCATCATGTCAGGTGCTACACTATACCGAAGTTTGTGAAAGATATTTTCCGAAAAAATCCAAATTTCTGTCCCAAACCACGCTTGGTAAATCATGAGATATCACCCGGTGTCTCTAAGCCCGATGAGAAACAGTGCTTCAAGTGCAAAACATGTTTTAAGAAGTTTTCATTTCGATTTAGTCTCAAAAAACATTCATGCAAAGCAGTAGTCACTGATGAAAATGTATATCGTAACTCTTCGAGGTCAGGAACGGGTGCAGAAATGAATGTGGCCAAACCAGTGTCATTTAAGGCAGAAATCGCATCCCTTGCTAGAAAACCAACTTCAGTTCTCACGGCAAATTTCAACTCCAGTCAAAATATAAAAACCAATGAAAATATTTCAGACATCCCCATGAAAAAAAGGGATAAATGCCAAAAATTGTCAAAAAAAATTTCTTAAAACATAGTCCCCCTAAACCAAATATTGTTGTCCCCAAATGGTGAAAAATCCCGAAGGGTTCTTTGTTAGTTTAAAAAAATTTCCCTAGAAAAGGGGAAAATTTTTTTTAAATCACCCCAAAAAGATGTAAAAATTTAAAACCCAGGGAAAGCATGCTTTTAAACATTTTGGGTTTCACAACAAAACGAGAAAAAAAAATTAAACCGGTTAAAGGTGACTTCAATGAAGACAAGCAACTAAAAGGTGCCGACAAGCAACTAGAAGGTGCCGACAAGCAACTAAAAGGTGCCAACAAGCAACTAGAAGGTAATGACAAGCAACTAGAAGGTGCCGACAAGCAACTGGAAGGTGCCGACAAGCAACTAGAAGGTAACAACAAGCAACTAGAAGGTAACAACAAGCAACTAGAAGGTAACAACAAGCGACTAGAAGGTGACGACAAGCAACTTAAAGGTGCCGACAAGCAACTAGAAGGTGCTGACAAGCAACCAGAAGGTGCCGACAAGCAACCAGAAGGTAAGGACAAGCAACTAGGAGGTGATGGTGTAAAAACAGCAAGTGTCTCTGATAAGATAAAAAAGTTCAATTGTATGTATTGTGATAAAAGCTTTACTCGAAATGCTAATCTTCGCGATCATATTGTTCTACATACTGGTGAAAAAAATCTGAAGTGCTCAGTGTGCTTGAAAGCATTCCTTACAAGAACAAAATTTGTGAAACACAAGGAAGAATGTGAATTTGAAAACCCAGGCGAGATATGTAAAATTATGAGACTAAACGGTAAAAATCTATCAAAGGAACCTTTGAATCAAGACAACAATCATGAAAAAAAGGTTCAAGAAGATAAAGGTAATGACATAGATGGTGGACCTGATAACCTGAATTCTTGTACAGAAGTTAACATGCCTAATGGAGAAGAAAACATACTTGGTTCACAGGGTATCATTCGTAATGATAGTGATGCCAAGAAGAATGATGTTGGGAATTCCCAAAGGGCTGAAAACATGTTTGATTTTGGAAACATTTTGAATGACCTGAGCAACTTTTTGAGTGAACGAATGTTTGATACAGACTTGAATGTATCATAAGCTGCAGTGACTGTCACATGCAGAGGGAAGTTAATTTCCATGCCCATCTAAGTTCAGACATTATAATTTGTTAAAGAATCTAGCTAGCTTAAGCGAAGGGGAGTGACCATTCCTTTATGTAAATAGCATGTATTGAAAAATCTTGAGCAAAAAAAAAACAAACAAACAAAAAATGACAAAAAAACACCCAAAAAACTTAGTATAAATTGAAATAAAGTTTTGTGCTTGTTGAACATATATTAATGTTAATATCTAAATATCTCAGCAAAAAATGATGTAACATTCTCTCTTTTTGTAATACAGAGAAAACTTTCCCTCCTACAGTTTAATAAATGTTCCAAAGAATTTGTCATATTCTTGCAACTAATACTGGGCCAGATATATCTCAAAGTTGTTATTCTATTTAAATTTATTGTTTTTCATATTCTTGTTATGTATATTTTTTCTGTTGTATATTTTTACTAGTACTGTTGTGTTCTTATATATTTGTTTTTACCATAATTGTTTTAGCAATTATACCAAAAATTGTAGTTCAAATTGGACTATATCTAACTATATGTATATATCGTTATTATTCAAGCCAATGTTTAAATTATTTCGATTATGTCTCATCCTTTGTAATTCAGAGATGTTTTTTTAATTTATTTTTAACTGTAACATCTGGAACATAATATACGAGACAAGCAAATATACTTTAGTTGGCTACCTTTTGACAGGTGATTGATCTGTAACCGTAGTGTTTAAATAATAAGTTAATGCTGTTACTATGTTATGTCATGTAAAAATTTATTTAATTATTTTTTATTTGATCAATGGGTACTGAAAATCAGCAAACTAGATGTACAAATTACTTTTGCTTCAGTCTCTATAAAGCATTTTAATATAATCATAGAAACCAGTCCAAAGTTATTATCATTTGATTGGTTGTTTCTGAACAAATATTTTTTGAAATTAACCAATGGCAACACTTAATCCACAGACTAGTTTCCAGTTTATTTTTTTTAATTTTTTTTGTGGGGGGGGGGGGGAAGGTATTACATATGAAGTTTCTTGTATTACTTTAGTCCATGCAGCAGGTACTGTTTTTATAGGCACTTATACTTTGGATAAAACATATTTTTAGAAAAGTTTTCTTTATATTTAGTATTAATGAACATTACATGGAATTGTTATACATGTATTTTGTTTTTTGTTTGATGCCTTATATAATATGTGTTGACAGTTTGAAATGTTCACTGGCTGTGGAAAAAATAAGTTTATATATCTTGATTTTTATTTCATAATTACCTCCCTTTATTAAATTTTGCACGATATTATTACATTTAATAGTTCAAAATTATTCTTCAAACAACTCTATCCATACATAATAGTTTTTTTTTCCAAACTATCTGAACTATATCGCATATAATATTTCATGAAAGTTCTTTTTAATCTACATGTATCTATAAACTTACTATATTGGGTAATAAGTTTAAAAAGACCCGTTACTATTTTTTACATAGGAATAATCACTTATGTAGTCCTTTTCAAACCATTTGAACTATGTCAATAAGTCATAAAGTCCTTTTTTAAATGTATATGAACTAATTCTTCCATTTTAACTTGGCAGTTCATTAGGTCATTTTTAAATAATCAAAACTATTAAAATTTAAAAAGTTCATTAATTTTTTTATTTGCAAGACCATCTAAATGTGTAGCAGTAGAAAACTGCAAGCTCGTGCACAAAATAATATAGTGGAACTTAAAAAGTAAGACTAAGTTATTTTCTCATTGTTTTATACATTAACGAAAAACAATAAAAAGAATATTGTCCTTGAAATATGTGTTTCTTTTCTTTCTTTTATTTATATTATATGAATATTTCATACTTAGTTGATGTGTATGATATCAAACTTCTTAGTAATATGCCAAGTTAGATATTTTGCCCTACTGGCAGTGTCTTGCAAATAAAATGTGAAAACCCCAGCTGAGTGTTAATTAAAGTGCCTGACTATGAAGAACTTGCCCCTTACTGCTGTGGGTTCAAATGCTGCCAGAGATTTTCATTCCTTTACATTAGGAATTTATCCAGCAAGGCAACGGAAGGTCGGTGGTTCTACTATTTTTTGGCAGCTTGTGAAAATGATGCTTGAGGGACACTCGAGGTGTTCTTCTCCAATAAAGATAGAATGTCTCCATAAGACCCTAACAGTGGCCCGGGAGAGCTACTATAATTCTTACCCCAATATATTAATTTTACAAAAATGCTTAAATAGGTATAATGTTATTATCAGCAATATAACATAGATGGTTTAATAGGTTCACCATTACTATCAGCTATTTTACATAGGTACTTTAATAGTTATAACGTTATTATCAGCAATTATACATATATAGATTCTTTAATAGGTATAATGTTATTATCAGCTATTTAACATAGATACATTAATAGGTATAACGTTATTATCTGCTTTTTAACATAGATATATTAATAGGTTTAACATTATTATCAGCACTTTAACATAGATGCTTCAATAGGTATAATGTTATTATCAGCTATTTTACATAGATACTTTAATAGGTATAACGTTATTATCAGCAATTTTACATAGGTACTTTTATAGGTATAACGTTATTATAAGCAATTTTACATAAGTACTTTTATAGGTATAACGTTATTATCAGCAATTTACATAAATACTTTAATAGGTATAACGTTATGTCATAAATTCTTTAATACGTATAACGTTATGTCATAAATACTTTAATAGGTATAACGTTATGTCATAAATACTTTAATAGGTATAACGTTATGTCATAAATACTTTAATAGGTTTAACGTTATTATCAGCCCATATAACCCCTGCTAATTTGCCAGCAAGGTTGTTCAAATGATTTCTATGTAAAATTTGAATCTGGGTCATCCGGGGTCAAAAACTATGGAAAAACCTTGTTTACATTTGCACGGTTTAAGATGCAGATATAAACCTTATGATATCAGTTTAAGATTATGACATTTTAACTGTTTTTCATTCTAAAGTTACAATATTAATTGTCTCTTGTCATTAATTAAGAGTCAAATAGTCAGGTGAGCGATGTAAGGAACATCAAGGTCCCCTTGTTTTAATAAAACCCGGATTTATGTGGTGTTTATATTTATGTTGTTTAAAATTTACATTTATAACTAAAGATCCGGTTTAACGTCGGGTGTTTGAAGGGTTTTTTTTTCGCCATACATGCACGTTATGTGTAAATATTTTATGTATTTTCCTTGCAACAGTACAGATGGGAAAGTTGCCGTGTGAATTTTACAAAATAAAAACTGCAAAATAACGACACGTCGTCCTTTAAAAAATAAAGAATTAATAACTTATTTAATTGATACATAAATGTTATAGATGGAAAATGAATTTAAAAGTAAAATGAAAAGAACAATGTACATGGACTCAAAGAAACTTGTGCCTGTGATAGTAATAGTGGCTATTATCTCCAATATGATATACATTATTTTACAAAATTAATCCCCCATGATCAAAGTCAATACTCAAGTACGGAAACGTACATCGACCCGGGTTCGGGTCCCGGACCGTGCAGGCCACTTTCGTTGTGATTGATCATGAATTCCTTTCTACGGTCATTCTCACAGTCCCCGTGCGCTAGCATGTACAGAAGATATCAGTTCCCTGCGGAAGTGAAGGCATGTAGTACATGTACGAGTAAACTGCTTGACGGCCTGCCCTGGAACGATGCGGTGGTCGAACTGTGCTCTGGTGAATTCAATTTGGGTATCCGCCGCGATCTGGAAGTCAAACTACCAACATCAAGTTGGTATGATATGATAAGAGTACGAATGTATATATTTATCCCAAATATCCTAATTGTTGAACTTTTGTATATATATATACGTTCATGTATATGCACTTTTACACAAACGTTGATATCTGTGACCTGTCGCACGGACTAGGGAGATAAATTTCACCGTGTATGCCCAGTAACGCCAGAATGTGAAATAACTCACGATTCGTGCATAATATATTTCAAAAGTGCTTAAGAATTTATTACAGAGATGATTCCGTTTATTTCAGATACATGTAATAATATAATCTCGCAAAGTCTGGCCGGAGTATTTCTGATATGTTCAAGACGGGGGAAAGCACAACTGGAAAAGAAAACAACTCCATTTTTAAGTGAGATATATTCAATATTCACTCAAAAAAGTAATTGTATAACATGTTTTAAAATTAAGAATAAGTCAGGCACTTTCAAAATTTATGCTAAGTGACGTTCGCCAATTATATATAATAACATTACCGTGACATCACAAAAATATTCACATTTTTGTGATGTCACGGTAATGTTATTATATAATTCGTACTCTTATCATATCATATACCAGTTTGATGTCACGTTGTCATAAAAGTCTCAAAAGTTCAAAAACTAAATCAGGACAGGAGAAACCCATCACATAAAATTAGAGTTTCAAAACGAAACAGATTCACAAAGCTGCACACCATTAAAAAGTGTCAAAAATTCTAATTTTAAAATAAATCTATGAAATCTTAGCGTATCGTGGATAGGCTTTGCTCGGTACCAGAACATTATTTTTGATTCGAGGAGAACCAAACAAATATAAAAATGATGGACCGTAATTTAAATTTTTTGCAGACGACAATTTTCCCATTATGTGAAGAAAAGAATATTGAATTGTTTCACGAGTCATATTGGGTTTTGATGGTAGAAAACACTTTATTATTACAGCATTCATAATTGTGCCGCATTTGGTTTAAAAAAATAGATTCAAGGTTATGAGGCAAAGTTACTCGATTAACTAACAACAACAAATTTCATATAAATTAAACTGGAATCTTGCCGCTTTGTGGTACATTGTTGAATTTGATTGAAATACCTTCTTTGTAATTCAACGCGTTTAAAGGTTGAATCAAATCAAAACATTAAACTTGTTTGGAAATCACTGATGTATTTACTGTAAACAGTAAATAGGATGCTGAAGTCTTTTTTTT